ATTATGCAAAAACTACATGTTATTGCGATACATACTGGAATTATAGTGTGGCTATTCCCATTTGTTTATGTTGCGTTTTTTCAGATTTCAGATTTGTACACGAAAATCCAAATGATCCTTATCGGTTAATGAGTGACGTAAAGAAAAGCGTTTATTCCTTCATTGTATTAAATTACTTGATTCCGCAAGTGATGTCCTGCGTCTCTTTAGAGTATTCACCCACATTATTATTGAGTAGAAATATTGATGAATCATTTTCATGAATCATTATCATTTTACAGATAATCATCCTTTTAGAAACACTATCAGCAGAAATTACTCATTCACAGTAGAAAATAATGTGTCGCAAATTGCGATATATTCTGCGATACCAGTAGCCACTTGCGACACATTTTTTACATTAAGACTGGAACATATTTTCATTCGACACATTCCGCTAAGTATTTCTACCATACAGAAAACAGTATAAATAAAGTATTTTTGATGGAAATTAAATATTTTGAAATGAGGTCTTTTTCGTCCGAGAAAAAATATTTAATGTAGAAAAAAGGTTAAAAAGACTTAGAAAGGGATTCACGAATAACATGAAATCGAAATAGAAAGAACTTGAAAAGCCAGAATATGTTCTTCTCTTTTGCAGAACTGAATGTGACCATGTTCGTAGAGCCAGATGGTGCATTAAGTAGATTTTCCGGGTGTCATTTCACCGTTTCTTTCGAATAGACATTCATTTCTATCCATTGCTGTTACCCTCAACAAAAACTTTTAACGTCGAAAATTAATACTTTCAGGTAGTAATCACACAAAATAAAAATAATGTTTTATAGATTTTTTTTAAAGAGAGTTAAAAAATCATTTGAATTTGAAAAGATAGAAATTTTTGTTCCGACCGATAGAGGTTTTGTGTTTCTTCTTGAAAATGTCTATATCAGAAAGTATTTCAATCTTTCTATAAAATAATAACGACGTTCTGAAAATTGTTTTATTTTCTTTTAAATGAATCCTTCGATTAAAATATATTTCAACCTAGAACAGGTATTTTAATTGAGGCGGAGAAGGATCTTATTTTCATTGTCCTTTCATAATACCTAGCCTAAGCTTAATGCTGCAACTTTACCTGTATTTTATTTTATCTGCTGGATCAGATACAGTTGGCTGTGTACTACTGTCTTTCTGATATCTGCAGGAATCTGTTTTGTGAAAGTCGAAAAATATCGAAGGAATGTAGAAAACCCAGGAATCAAAATTTATTCGGTATTGATAACTCTGACAAATTCAATGACTTTCCCCCTATCTGTTGATATATAACACATATGGAAACTGAATTTAGTATGACTAATCTCATAATGAAATCAACCTGTTAATTCATGAGAGTTTTGCTTTAAACTATATATCGAGGCTGTTAGATTTAAGGCATAAAATTTATTTTGAACATTTTTCTTAATGCACCTAATGAGTCGGTAATTCGACCAGCCATTGTTCTATTATTTCTAATTTACATAAAAAAATAGTACATAAATCGACAGAAAAATAGTTCTGTCAAAAAGAAAATAGTAGGAAAAATGCATACATACATCGTATCCATCTGACAAGTGTTGAACTAGAGAAGTAGCAAAAAAATAAGACATACGTAAAAAAATATACACATCTGACTAGGCATGCTACAAATACCGGTACATGTCTACATCTGACATAAATTTTAGATGAGAAACCTTTTAGGACAAAATTCGTATAAGCGGAATAGACTGCCAACAATAGTCACTGTTTAGAGTATTGAGTAAATGAAAAAGATTTGATTAAATAAATTTAATCATCTGTCCAATGATTTAATTTTTTTAACCATTGTATTTGTTGAATAACAGCTTGCATTTGATGTTTTTTCGCTATTTGATATAAAATTGTACACGTTTGATGTAACAATTTTGTTGTATGCATATTTTGATATTGTTGTCCACAATCACAATAAATTTTATAATATACATTTCTAACAAAATGACATTTTGTACAAATAGCATCTTGTAATATATTTTCAATAGATAATGTTTGAACATAATTCAATAAGTATTGTTCAATCAATTGTTGATCATACGCCATTTGACATTGATCACATTTATATTGTTCACCATGTGAAATTTCACGATATAAATCAATATCACGATAATGATTACAATTTGAACAGACTAATTGTGGAACAATGAACGATGTTAATGATGACAAATTTGCTTGAGTTATTTGTGAATATTCACTTAATTTTAATAATTTTAATAGATCACGGCGTAATTTATTAATATCATCGGACATATCACGAATTAACATCAATAAACAACAAACAGATTTAACAAATTCTAATGCTGGACTCGTATTCATAGTAATGATTGAATGATCAAAATCATTTTTTGTTAATTTACGTTCAATTTGATTTGTGACTGACATCAATTGTTGATATAATTCGTTAGTAAATATATCACGACAATATTCCAATACATTTGATGGTAGACAATCTAGAAAGAAAGAAAACAAATTTATTGACGTATAGCAATTTGTTTTTAATGGTAAAATTGACTATGGAGTGTAATATGAGTTGTGTGAAGCATTTTTACATTAATTTCTAAAAACTTCAAGTATTTTAACTCGATTCTTATCTTTCTTCTCATTTGTGTAGCAAATGGAAAGTCTTTTATAATACTGATGATGTTCTGGATGAATATTGTTTTCTAAAGAATCGGACTTAGTATCTGACATCATGAAGAAGCTTATCCCTCTAGGATCGTAGAACTTGCTAGTTAAGAAAGCATTTCTTACATTCCATCAGTGTGATTTCCTATTTAAACACGATTTTGTTTATAAGATGTACCTAAGGCAGACGTGGAGTGAAATTCATTTTTCTTTTATTTATACATCATTCGATAGAGAATTTGACGGCAATCACGAATATGTGTTCCCTGAACTTTTTGGAGCACTTACTGAATAAATTTGTTTTACAACCACTTTTTTGCTACAGACGAGTTCAAATCTTGAAAACTTAGCAGTGGTCCTTTTTTATGGTGTGAGGATATTAGCATGCAAAATATTGCTGCTAAATAATTTGTAGTTAAATGTTTTATCATTCTTACAAACAATAGAAGAGACGAGATCTTTTTCATAACTTTTTCACTCTAGCCACATCATCATATTACCTGTTATAGTTGTTGTTGATGTATCTTTACTATAGTGTTCACGTAATCGATTAAAAATTGTACGAGCAAATCCTATAATAATTGTTTCAAAATAATCTTGTACAACTCGTGGTAAATAAATAATCATATTCCATTCAAAACATGTTTCTTCTTCATCTTCACCAATTTCTTCTTTATCTTTTAACCATACACGAAATCCACAATAATTTTTTTCATCATACCACCATAGAGATTGATAAATTGATTTTAATCCCAGACAAATTGTTGATGTTAATTCTTTTTGTTGTAAATGATCTAAAATTAGTCTAATATATGATTGAGTATCTACAAGTAACCATCGTTTTGTTGTAATAATTATTTTATTTAAATTTCCATAAATAGTCGATGAACCAATACGTTGTAATTCCACTAACAACTGTAATAATAATTTTTTCATAAATAATTGTATTGTACGTTTTAAAGCTGGTTCATACAACAAACTTTTAGATGATTGTAACCAACGATAAAAATGATGTAATTGCATATCAGCAAATATATTTGAATATGAACGAACATCTTGTAACCAAACTTGAATCATTTGACGCAATAAACGTAACGATGGTAAACATAATGATGTTTCATCGTACATTGTGTTTACTGTTGAATTACTGTTTCCAATCGATAGTGACGATAGAATATCACTCGTACCAGCTACAGAATTTTGAACAGGTACACCAAAACCTAAAAACAGAAAGAAAAACTTTTGTCAACATAGAACTGTGGCCTAATATAGGAATTTTTCTGTCTTTCTTGCTATATAAACTTAAAATCTACTCTCCTTTGAAATCATAAGTGAGAAAGCGTTGCATAATGAGCGTCACGAGAGATTAACAAAATTTTTGCTAGGTTAGCATGAAATGTAAATCATGAGATCTGAAGAATATATCGGGATAACTTGTTGTATCTCATTCGTTTGACTGCTAGTTTCTCAACAATTATCTTTTTAAAAGCAATTAGCGACGCTGTTCAACATACCTAAATCAAAACTTGAACCTTCTGTTTCATGAATTTTTTGAAAATTGAGTACAGCACATATTGCCAAGCCGACTAATTCAAATTCAATGCATGCTGTGGGATAAAATGCTGGACGATTAATTTCAAATGGTGGATGATTTTCTTCTTGCAGTGATGTTGATGAAACATCTGAATCTGAATGAAATAAATTATTTGCTATTGTATCATTTCCTGTGGTCAATAACATTCGATAATCATCTTGTTCTTTTCCACCTAAATCTGGTTGATCGGTTAAAGAACACCATAACAAATGATTATGTTTTACTAAATGTCTAGCATAAAACAAATCACAAGCAAATAGACATGGATCTTCGGGAAAATTGCCAATAGGTACATGTAAATATCGACATTGTTCTAACATATTAACCAAAATAATATTTGCATTTGAATAATGTTGTATTAAATGACGTGCTGCCGTTTTTTGCCAGTCTAATACACTACGAAATAAATTTGCTTTATCTTTTGTATGAATAGTTACTTTTGGATAATCGTGTAAAAGCGACATATTTTGATGAAGATCAGATAATGGTATATTTGTTTGAATAGCCAAATAAATTGGTACTGAACTATGCGTTGAGTCAGTTTCACGAACTAAACATATGTTAAGTGATTTCTCTAAGACTTGAAGTGACAATTAATTGGCCGATATTTCTACTTATAAGGACAAGATACTATATCATCATAGGCCTTCTTGGTTAGACGATGAAAATTTTCAGTACTTACGATTCATTAATATTTTATTAAATCGTTTCCATATACTTTGTAGATCAGTATCAACTTTGATTTCAAATTGATGCTCATTCAATGGTAATAATGCTTTATCAATCCCACGTTGTAAACGTTTTTCACATTCTAATTTTAATAATTTATTTAAATTTGGCATATTATTTTCTCTTACATTATCTAATAGGCCAATATACGCTTTACATGAATTTGGTACAAATAATGATACACATAATTTTCCGTGATCCATGTGTATATAGAAATAAACACATTGCAATGTGCCTTGTTCAATATACGATTGTTCTGATAATGGTTTTAACTCTAATTCATTAAGTTGAAATGTATTTGTTAATTTTTGTAGTTGTTGTTCCTGTCGTCTTAATGAACAAACACAACCTAATGATACGAGTAAACGAAATTCTAATGGTACATTCATTTCATAGACACCTTCAATATCGGGTTGATTTAAATCAGCCATTATATCAGTATAATAATCTTTAAATACGCATTCATCCAGCGTATATTGATATAAATTATATGTTTGAGAGCAACGTGGTAATAAACGATTGACTTTACGACACCAATCATTAATCGCTTTTTCATAATCACGACTCTTCTGTGACACTGTTGTTACTATTGTTGTTGGCTTTGCTTCTTTTGGTGTACGATGATTAACATAAAATACTCGTGGTACATTTATTTTAATTTGTTTGATTTCTTTATTAACAATACACCATGCTTTAAATAGACCCGGTTGATCCGTTGCTTCATACTGAATGATTTGCCATGGTGTTGTATACAAAGTTTCTGCTGCACGACGAATATACGAATCTATTTTACCCATATTCTTAGTTTTCTGAGGTGCTTCGTGTGTAATGGAAATTACACTAGCACTAGCCGACTGTATTTGTTCTCGTTGAATATCCCATTTTCGTTTATGATACGCAAGCCATCTTAAATGATGATCATGGGTTGTACCAAATGGTGGTGATGGACCCAAAATTATTCGCCATTGACGCGTATTTTTATCGTTATCATCACGTTTACGTTTTAATGTTGTTTTTGTCACTGCTACTGTTAATTTTGACGATGAATCTACAGTAATAGTAATTAGAATATCTATTTAGTGAGTGTCACTTCAAAAAATAGTTTATACTTACTCCGTTGTTTTCCAATATCTTCAATATCTGCTGTTATTGCCATATTTTCCATTTGTTGTTGATTATTATCTAATAATGTCTGTTTATCTACGCTATTAAAAACATCAGTTATTCGTTTTTGTTTATAAATACTTGTTTTTTCGATTAAACGTTTATGAAGCCAATCAGGATGTTGTACACGTGGTACAGGATTTTTAATACCTTGTAATGCAGCCGGAATAGTAACAATTTTTTGTACACAACTATTTAAACGATCAATATAATAATTCCAATCTAAAATATCCCGTAAATCTAAACTTTCTGTTATTGATAAGTGTAACCATTTTCGTAAATAATAATTTCGTACACTCTGATCCGATTGAAATATGGTCAATGGGATAGCACGTTCGGTAATGGGTGCACCGCGAGGTACATTCGCAATAACAAAGCGACAACATAAACCTTTATCTTTAACAACATCATCGCCCAAAAATTCGGCTAAACTAAAACAGAAAATAAATATATTAGACGCTTATGAAGGAAAAAAACTATTCTTACCGTTTTGCTGTTGATATTGACGTCGATTTTTGCTCACCATAATCGGACAACATTCTTGACATCGTCCGTCTTTCTGATATTAATTCAACTAATTCTTTATCCGTTATATCATTACCATGTGAATATAATACATCTAACCAGTAATCGGCTATTTTGGCTACATGTCCATAACATTCTTCCAATGTATTACCTTTCAGAAACGCTTCAAAAACACTCGCTTGAAATATTTTAATTAATTGTAATTCACCATTTCGTTTCACTTCAAAACCTTTTAATTCTGCAATGGAACCATCGAGATTGAATACAGCATAACGTTTTTTAATACGTTTTCCTTCTTCTTTTGATGCCGGTAATATCATGGCTAAATATGGACCATCAATTTCAAAAAAGATGGAATTTTCTGAACGTATTTTATATTGATGTTTATCTTTATCAACTAATTCATGATATTGATCATTTGTATAATAATCCTTAATCAGCATATTTAATAAACTACATGGATAGGAAAATACTAATTTTGGACGATTTACGTTAGTTGAAAATAATTCATAATTTTCAGGAAATGTTGCTGGAAGCACACACCATATACCATCCTGAAAACAACAAGAGTAATTTTCTACAGATTATTTCTAAATCAAATGAAATCAGTTCTCACAGTATCTAACTCTAATGGACGTCCAATTTGTTCAAGAAGTTCTCTTGTTCGTTTGATAATTGTTGAACCTGTTGTACATACAATACCACCCATTTCCATTCTATGCCACCTTGCACCTCTTCTCATTACATAACCATAAAACGAATTTAATATACATTTATGCGCCAATTGTAGTGAATCCTGAAAGAAAACGAACGACATAAACCTTTGATCTGTCAAATTAAATGTAGTAAAACTTCTTCGCGTAGTACTGAAATACAAAGTAGAACTTCGACCTCAAGATAGGTCCCCTTCGTAGGAGATCTAAGTTGTCTTTGAAGAGATGATGATTCGTACACGTTTTATTTGCCTTTTTTCTTAGTTGACAGAAAGAAAGCGTACAATATTAAACCAACGTCGAAGCTAAATGCAACCTGTATTGATTATATGATCTCAATAAGCTAATTTTAAATCGTAGAACGTATGTAATGGGAGTTTAAACGTTTTTTTTCTTTTTGATAGCTATTTACTTCTGTTCTTCTTACGACATTTCACAAAAACAAGCATCAATCAGGATGTTTATTATTTTCGAAAGATGTCTTTTCCTTGTTCATACTTACATAGATGACAATAAGATTATTACAACGTTTTGTCTCATGAAGATCATCAATTTTCATTGCACCCTGTAAATTTTTTTTCCATTTTTTTAATAAATCTTTATACTCATATCGTCGATCACGAAATGCTCTTACTGTATCAACATAAAATGAATTTTCACATTGACAAACAATTGTTTCACGTGTTTCTTCACGTGTCTGATTTACTTTCTTATAGGCTTTACGACAGTACTCTTGTAAACGTTTACGTTCAATTATTGTCTGTGTTTCTAATGGTAATTCATGAAATGAACGTGTGTTATTAGTCGATGATGGTAACGATGATGAACGTTGGTGATTGCGAAATTTATTTTCTTTATTGTTATTGTTAAATTCAAATTTTTTGGGATCATTATATGGAAAACGTTCATTTTCTAATTGTAACTGAATACGTTGTAATTCATTCCGTGTTGCTGGTACGTATGTACCACGCCATATCCAATCCATTTTTCGTTGACATCGAGCATTTGGACGATTTAAATCACATTGTGCACATATTGTTGAATCAACAATTGCTGCTGGTTGAAGTCTATTTGTTAAAATAATATTTGGATACATGGCACCAACATCCAAATGATAAATATTTGGTTTTTCTAAACGATTTGGAACATTTTTTAAATGTAATAAACGCTGTAATATATCATCTTTGATATCTTGTAAATTTGTTATAGTATCTAATTCTAATTTTTCTTCAACTTCAACACATTGGATTAGTGTACGATCAATATTATCGATTAAATATTGTATTGTTTCTGGTACAAGTTTAAAACGACATGGTATATCACTACGAAAAACGCCAGATTCCAATGCTTCTACACTAGCGCCAACATACGTTTCTGTTGTTAATAAATGACCATCATGTGTATAACGATATTGTTCTTCTTCATGTTTATTGGGAAATATAACATTGGCATGATATGCTTGAACCATCAATAGTGTTTCACACAATGTACCAGAACCTTAAAAGAAACATTATAATTAAAAGATGGATAGAATGATGTTAATTTAAAAATTTGAGAGAATAGAGTCAATTTTGAGTTGCAAATACAAATCGTTGAGAGAAATTTGACTTCATTTTTGGTCTAGTTTGAACTGATTTACCTTTTCTTAAAATTTCTTCCGGACGCATTGGTATAATTGTACATAGTGCAAAGATGAATGTATGAACATATTTCATATATAAATAATATGTAGCAACAGCATCCGAAACAGAATAATTTGATAATATTTGTGGTTGTTCGACAGCTAAACGACACATATCCTCGGGATCAATCTCAATTGGATTATATCTTAATTTTGCTTTTGTAACAGCTTTCAAACCATGACTACCCACAGGTAAATAACTATCACGTTTTACCCATTTAATAGCATCCATATGGATGCATGGTCGACATAAATAATTATCTTGAACATCTTTACGAAAACCAATTTCATTGTACATATTTAAACCATTGATTTGTGCCTGAAAAAAATATGACGTAAATTAAAATGATTAACGAACGAATGAATGAATAAATGATAAAACTTACTCGTGTCTCAACAAACGGAATATCAAACGAATCACCGTTATAAGTAACAATAATATGCGGTTTAATATCTATAATATGTTGAAAAAAACGTTTCAATAAATCCAATTCATTTAATTCATTATAAACATGAAAATGTCCAGGATATTCCTTTTTTGGTGTATATTCAAAATCAGATATATCTTGAGAGATGATATCACGATTAATAATTAAGTACCCTTGTTGGTCAATCATATACGATATCATCATTATCTAGACACAATGTACGAAATGTCATGTATGTAAAGAGAATAGTTTAATGAACTAATAACAAATTACCTGATCTGTTTGAGCAGTTGGAAATTTCAATGGCATTTTTGTACATTCAATATCGAATGCTAGAACAATTGGTTCTGGTAGTTCGATCAATTCTGGCTTCAGAATAAATTGACTCTGAGTATCATTTATTAATTGACCACGAACACCATACCTGAACAAAAAAGATTTCATTAACTTTCAAATATTCAATGTAAACAGTCTATACCTATTCAGACTAAAAATACAACAACAAGATATTTTCTTTTACGGAAATGCCCAGTATATACTGGTATGAAATAGTCACGCTAAAATTTCCACTCTCTCGTAAAGATATTCTCAACTGATGTTTATAGAACTGTTCGCTGTTTGAAATAAACATTCTGTAGTCGAATCTTTCTTCCACATGAATGTTATAGAATAAGATTTCTAACATTTAAGATACAACGAATCAATTTAAGACTTACCATAACCCAACCATAATTTTAAGATCAATACAAACACGTATATGATAAGGAACATCGAATTCTCTTAAATCAACAATTGAATCAATTTGTTTTTCAATTAAATTATTTGCTCCACCAAAATGCAGATCATTTGTTGTTGTTTTGATTAGTGACGCTTCTGGATGTTGCTCACGTTCTTTTTCTCGTTCTGAATTTTGTTTAACAATTGGTTGTAATTCTCGACGTATTTTCATTAAGTCATCAATATCATAAAATTTTAAACGAATATACGTTCGTTTTAATCCACCTAAATGATTTGGTAGATCTAAATCTTCTTTTACGATTAAATCACACGCTAAACATTTATTATTATAACGTTTTGATAAATAAGCATATACATCATTTTCACGACCCAGTTTAGCACCCACATAAAAATACGGTGAATATTGCACGGATATTTTAAAACGTTCACCAGTTTCACCGATAAAATATAAATCCAGTGATGATAAAAAGCGTCGTCTTTCCTCGTCAAATACTTCACTCGGTTGAATGTTGTACAGCCAACCAATTTTTTCTTCAAAACCTTTATAACGTGTAAAACCATATATATTATCAATACGTTCTGATTGATGTAAACGATCAATACGTTTGTCGAATGTTAAACCACCCGTATTTGTAACAGCCACATCCTCCAAATCATCATTAGCAATTCCGCCATTGGAGTCTTCTTCGTCCATCTGAAAAATAAAATAAAATAAATTTATTTATTGTACCCTTTAGAAATCAGTTCGAAAACATTTGGTATAAAAGATACTTAAATGGGATAAATACTACGCAAAATTCATTAAACATTTAAGAATCCTATGAACTATTGTTGATCATTCACCCCTTTTTAGATCAGTTACGGTATGAAAAATGAGAATATAAAGTGCTTCGATTGTTGTTGACGATAGTTTTGAAAAAAAGCGACTAGAAGACAGATTTTGTTCTAACGACGAGTTATCAACAAATTTCCTTTCTCAGCCATCTTATTATTCAGCAGTGACTGTTGGCAAATTCGATAAGGTTAAAAAATGATCTAGCACAAATCTCAATCATTACCATCTACCAATGTTCGTCACTTAGAAGCTCCGATTGTTTTTCACGTTAAATAAGGAGTTCTTAAGTCATTTGAAGGTAACGTTTAGCTTATGATTAAGATCGTGAAAAAGATTGTCATATTCAGGGACGCTGCGACAACGGGAGTGAAGCGGGGGATCCTCCTCCCTGGTTTTTGGAATCTTTTACTCACAAATTCGAGAAGTCTTTGCTTTGGAAATGAGGTCAACAATCAGCACCATCTGACGTGTGCTAATAAACATAATAGCAAAAGCTTCTGAACTCTCATTTAATGTTGTAATGAGCAATCGCTGATTACTCATTATAAATACTCTCGGTTTAAGAATAAACGCCAATATATTTTCTTTTTATCGTTTACAAGAAAATCTGCTTGCATTTTGAAAGCTTCCCATTCTTCTTGCTTTCTTTCACTAATTTGGCTCCCAAATCCTGCGGTATAAACGCTTGACTCTTCGTAACAAAATGCCTTTGTCTGTTGACTTTACTCCCAAAGTAAAGTCAGAGTTTGAGGCTCAGATTTTCAATCAATTTCTCAGGTCGTGACGATGAATCAGTACGTTTTACTCTTAAATTTAAAGACGTCGCGCGCACAACGAAAATGCCGCCATGTTAGAAAAACAATAATCTCGATGCTATATCTGTTCTTAATTGGTTGCTTGTTTTTAAGTACTCATTTTAGTCGTTCTTGAGTTCTTTCGCCAGAGTGGAGCTAACGTCAAGATATTCTACAAAATTTCTAGAATTAGTCACTATTGTCAATGTAAAACTAATAGAAAGTAGCGCTTGACTGTAGAAATTCCAGTTGTAGAAAGAGTATCTCGACCTAGAACTAATTTGAATTTTTCTAGGTGTAGTAGAACGTAAAAATTAATTCATGTATTTACTAAAGTTTAGATCCTCGTGGACAATTCTAAGAAATTACTCGCAAAATAACACAAGAGAATTGAGGATCAGTAACAAAATGATTAGTTTTTCACTACTATTCATTTCAAAGTATTGTGTCTATGCTTGATTATTGAGCACCATTCAATAAAAAAAGAGGATCGAGATCTAGTGGTTGTTTGATCAAGATGCTTTAAGTCCATAAAGTAAGATACAGACTTGAGTCGATGCTTGACTTTAGGTCAGTTCCATGGGGATGAGATAAACTTAATTGATATGATTTTTTGATGAACACCAAAAACTAAGTTTAAGATGAAATATTCTCGGTGATTTCCGTGAATCGATAATAGATTAAGGAACATCTTTTCATAAAAGACCTTTAAAAATCTGTTCCGAAGAGAGGTTGGAGAGTTTTTGTTGCTGAGGTTATGCAAAGTCACCGAGTATCAGTCTTGCAAATCGCTGAAAATGAGGATATTGTTTGACTCTTATTTTAAAGAGGACACGTTGGATTATCTGAGCATGTAAAGAAATCAACACATTGTCTATGAATATTTAGAAAATCCAACTTTGTTGTCTAAAAATCCTTTTAGAACTTTTTGTTTTTACACCCGAATAATATTTTCAAACATTTTTCACAAAGTTCAGAATAACGATAGAAATTTGCTATTAAAAAAATATCGAAAGTGTTTGTATATACCTTGATGGTGAAGCTATTCATCTCTTTTTTTTCTGCATTTACTATTTAACTTTAAGGAGATTTTTTCGATTGATACAGCATCCTAAGTCAGGTTCAAGTTAAAAATCTGACTTAATGGGCCTGAGACATACACATTGTGCTACCAAGTCCCTGCTATTTCATTATAGAAGATTTTAATTGGGTATTGTAATTGTATGTTTTACTGAAGAGTTTAAGAATAGTATGGCTACGAATAATTATAACTCCTTTTGACCAGAAAATTTAGTTATTAGTACCTCAAGTCAAACACAGAACTCCGGTTGAATTAATGCTATAGTTACACTGATCAAACGTCGTTTTGAAAAAAAATTAGTTTGGCTCCAGTATACTACATCATGAACTGGCGTAGGCAAAAGAATGAATTTGAAATTTTCAATGCCAATAGTCAACTTTCTTGTCTCATTTCTTGAAAGATTCTTGTCTCTTGGTATTTTAACCAAGAATCTTGCTAAATAGTTCATATATATTTTTATCTCAGAACTCTAGATAAATAAAAGATTCCACAGTCACGGATCATGTAAACACTCGATTATCGCTTGACAAGAATCATGTGAGATTGAAAAGAACCTCTATGCGATTTTAGATCGTAATACGCTTTTATTTTTATTTCTTAACTATTGAACATTACCATTAAGTAAAAAAGAAATTTTTTAATTGCGGTCTCACGAAAATAGTTTTGGTTCTGCATGAACAATAATCTTTATTTTATTGAAAGAAGAATGAAAATGCCACTGAAATGTAGCTATACGTAGAAAATGTTTAGTAAAAAAAAATTGCATGCCTCAGGAATTTCTGAACGAGCAGTCAACTGAGAATGAAGTATGCTCGCTTAATTGAAATAACAACATTCAAAAACACTTTTAACTTTCAAACGGAGTTAAAAGTGCTAAATATGTCAACTTTTCGTTAAAAACCGTTCAACTTTTACATTCTTCAGTGAATCTGAATTTATTAATGTCCCTATTAACCTTTATCCATTAAACTCATTTCTTTGTTTTGTTTTTCAGTTTTATTGATCAATGTCTCTCCTCTTCGCATTTATCCTCAACATGTTAATTTATCTATTTTGTCATCAAGTAGGTTGTTCAATATGATTAAAATGTCAAATGAATGAACAAAGAATAAGAAAGAAAAGGTTAAAATAAAAACGGTTATGAACAATGAATTTATTTCATGGATAATTGTGTGTTTGTTGGTGATATATTATATTGAAAAAATGTTTATCTATTATGCGTGTCTTGTTTTGACATATCGTTGATGTGAACATATCTCTTTGATCACTTTCCGATCAAAATAGGAATCTGTTTAAACAAAATTCTTCGGAACAAACTTTGTTGCTGGTTAGTCTCATGCGTTGATAATAACAACAAAAGATAGCAAAATTCAACAAAAATCGTTTATTTTTCTTTCCATCGGACACAATACATTGAGAATAATATATATGCGTGTTAAATCTTAATCCGGATGTCTTAATAAGTCTCAAGTTCGATCGGTGATGACATATTAAGAAAAATCTTATATATTTTGATTATGAAGATGTTATCAACTATTCTATATCATCATAATCAATTTATCTGACTTATCGTCGTCTTTTTTTTTCTTTTATCGTGTTTGAAATACATGATATTATAAAAATTCTTTTCTACCTTGTACAGGATTTACTTTCCGTTGATTATCTTTTATTTTAATTAGTTTTTTTCCTACAGAAAAGAAGAGATATATGTATTTTTTACTATAATGGATTTACTTTTCAATAATTAGATAAAAAATGTATACTAATTAAGCAGTCTGATATATAGGAATTTACTTTTCATTGATTTAGAAACGGTATACAATTGATTTATTAGTCGACGTACGTGAAGATCATATGCAGACAAAAAATGAACAAAAATATAGAAAAAAAATCAACATTTGGAAAGACATTGAAAGTATCTCATACCAGCAGCCTTTAAGAAAGTTGACATATCCATATGTTCATCGTCATAACATTGCCATAATTTTACAAACCATTCATCTGTTATTATCTTATTTTTTCGACGTTTTGGAACCGGTGCACTCATGTCATCTCGTAATCTTGCTAATGATACTAATGATTGTCTTCCTGTAGTAAATCAAGAACAATCATTAGCCAACTGGCTAATTAATTGTATAGCGTTTCCAAATCAATGAAAAGTAAATCCCTATATATCATACTGCTTAATTACTATACATTTTTTTATCTAATTATTGGAAAGTAAATCCGTTATAGTAAAAATTACATATATCTCTTCTTTTCTGTAGGAACAAAACTAATTAAAATAAAAAATAATCAATGGAAAGTAAATCCATTGAAAAGTAAATCCTGTAAACTTCTTTCTATGTATTACAATAGAATAGGCTCATCTTTATCGAATAAAAAGTTAAATTGCCTATGGTAACAGGTGTCTATAATATTTTTAGCATGTTTTCTCTCTATTTTATGTCGATGGACACCTATGATTGATGAAATATATTAATCCCACCATATCTATATTATTTTATCAATTCCATATAATATGGATAGAAAGTAGTATAACAATATTGTATTCACTAAGAATCTTTTTTATACTAAGAAAGAAAAATAATACGCCTACTTCTATTATAAATAATTGTTGCATACATAAGAGATGGTAGCAGACATGAAATATCTATACGTGCGCTATAGGTGTAGAATAATAATAACGCACGAATTCTTCCTTTTGTGTTTATTTGTTCATTCATTCTATACCTAGTCTGAAAAATATATATATATACATTGCCCAAAGCTCATTACTGAGGCGTGATCAGTTAATCGTCTTGATTATTGATCCATTGTTGTAACAAAATTTTTGCATGAGAAGAATTAAGTTCAAATTTTTTTTTTTTTGGAAAGAAGGATATATTTTACATAGTAGATTTTTGAACAAGGTTTTTTGATAAACTATGAAGAGTTCATAACCCCACATCTTATTGTCTGAATATTTAATTATTTCTATTAAACCTTCAATGATGATCGTATCTTTGATTTTATTTACTTACTATAAAGTTTAATAATTGGGAGTGTTAGATAAATATCTTTGTTAATAATACACAAACACTAAAGAAATGAATATGTTAAATCAATATAATTTCGTTGAAGAATCCAAAATATATTGCATATGTACACGAGAATTATGAAAATACGAAATAATTTTAAATTAATCTTAAAAGTTTCAATCCTAGTTTCTCTCTCTCTCTCGCTCTCTCGCTTTCGCGCGCGCGCGCACACACTCAATTGATTGAGACGAAGTGTTAATTTAAATTGAATATTTTGATCACGTTCACAACCTTTCACATGAATAGAATATATCATTTTCACAAGAAAAAGAGGCGAAATTCGAAAATACATATAGAAGGATACAAACAAAAAAAAAGCATTTTCTTCTTCTCTTTTTTTTCTTTGTTACGATACAGCAGGGAATTACATGAATTACTTTCGGAGATGTGCTATATTTTATAAGGTATAAAATGTGAGCGCATTTAAGCATTAACATATAAATTTTCACCGGATGTTAATAAAGAAAGAATATTTATATATATATATATAGATGTGGCGGGCTCCAACAATAAAAAAAGAAGTAAAATCCATACACACACACCCCCATTTAACATTTTTTTTGAGAAACAACTGACTGCCTGCAGGGTAGATTTAGAGATATTTAATCAATTGACAAAATATATCATACAATAACGACATAGTTTTAAATTTTTATTGCAATCTATCATTCATTAAATTATTATAAGACAAAATTTATCCAAGAAAATCTGTTCATTCTGTAACACCGTACAAGAGGTTAGCAAGATCAAAAAAAAAGAATTCAACTGATTTACTGTACTTTGTAGAAGTATTAACCATCAAACTAAAACCTCAATTACAGTAAAACAAATTTCTATGTTAACGAAAAACAGAAAAAAACATTACACATGTAGAGTGTACGATATTTTTTTATCACAAAAATCAATAATATAAACAATAAAATAAATAAACGTAATTAAAATTAACATTGAATATAGACGAACGAACGATATCGAATAAAAATTTATAGTCGAAAATAATATGAATGATGATGATGATGATGATGCTGACGATGAAATACCGATATTAGATAACATGGATGATACACCACATGCCTTATATTCTTGTTGTCTCATTTTTTGTAATTGACGTTTTAAATGAATTGATGAACATGTTATATCTTGATTAAGTATTAAAAGACAATCTCTTAAACGTGAATAAATAGGACAAAGTGTATTTAATTTATCAGCATCATTAACATCTAATAAACAATTTTCATATTTAAGTTCACATGATTTTGAAACAAATCGAATTGCTCTACCACTAAGAATTTTTAATAATTCTCTCTCTTGTGGTAGTTGTTCATTTGTCGTTGTCGTATATACAAACATAATAGTAATCATTAATGATGAATAATAATTTGTCATATGGACAACACAATGTTCATCAAAATTTGACCATTAACTAAACTAGTTCCACATATATGTAGACGAGGAAATGATGAGACAAATAAAAAATAAAAAAAAAGAAGATGAATAGAATGAGAATGAATATATACGCGACAAACCTGTTTTTCCTTTTTCTTCTTACTTTCTTTCTCTCTCTCTCTCTCTTTCTCTCTAAAACGTTCCTTTTTTTTTTCTTCTTTGTTCATCATGTAAATGATCTCTCTATAGACTAACATATGTGTATATGTATGTATAAAAAAAAAGAAAGGAGTTTCTTCTGCCTAAGTACCACACACTAACACTTTGTAAACTGCTGCAAATTATGGATCATACTGATTGTAATGAATGAGAATACAACAATGGTAAATCAAGCTGAGATGAAATCTCTATTGTAGAAAAAAAAAAAAAGACAAAAACTATGACATTACGAAATAAGTACGCAACTTTTAATTGAATTGAATAGAGTCTCAGTTAATCTGTTATGAACAATATCATTTATAAATATCAGATTTAGATACATTAGTCGGACAAAAATATATTTTTCCTTACATAATATCCGAAACTTACTCATAGCTAAAAAAAATTTGACTTAAATTGCAAAAGAATTTTAAGATAAAAATGAAAGGAAACAAAGTATAAACATCTCCCTAAAGAGAAATTAGAAAAAATAAAAATATTCTATCACATCGTACTACATCAGTAGACAAATATCTATCGTATTAAACATGAGTATAAAATAGAGAAAAAAAAAAAAGAAGATTAGACATGATAAGAGAAAACTTTTAACGAGAAGAACGTGTCTTAGACTGATAGAAAAAAAAAATAGACAAATTTAGAACTAGAATAACCCAATTATGTTTGTAATCGTTAACAGTACGCAGATATGGTTATTAAAGACTAAAATCACCAGCAAATTATTGAACGAAGCAGAGTTGTGAATGGACTCATTTCTCTTTATTTAAAATTTAAATTTGACGTTATTAACTAATATATCTAACAAACAAATAAACAATATGAATATAGACTAAAATCAAAGTTTAATTTTTTTATGGTACAATTTTTCATTTAATTAATTTTGGTTAGAAGGTACTCATTTTGATCGGAAGTTATTGTCCGCCTAGGAGAACATCAGTTTTGTTTTCTTCTTTTTTTCTTTGACTGAAGTAATAAAATATTAAAAAGGAAAAAGATCATTGATGCTTAAAAATGTGATTAGAAAAATGCAAGTTAATTTATAATTGATGAAAAACTCATTCATTGAAAACTTTACAGTAATAATAATACTAAAGTTTTTCTTCTTTTTTTTTTTTTCTTCTTTTATTGTGTGTCATTTGTTATTCCGGTTTTTCTTTTGACGCTTCCATAAACACATGAAAAAGAAATTTTGACTATTTCATTAACATTTCGTTTCCGAGATAGATCAATTTTGTTGTAGCCATTTATAGAACTTCACATGAAGGTATGAAAATTTGTCCATGTCAATCATATGATATAAAAAGAAAAAGAGAAAAATGAGTGAATAATTTTCTTTCATAATTGCTTCTAAATTGAGCCACTCGATTTCATTAAAAATGTACATTTTGTTGACATTGACACACACCCGTATAAAAGTCTATAAGCTCTCTCTCTCTCTCACACACACACACACATACACACATACACACTTATTCTGTACATAGAAGAAAAATGGTATTTACTAACATCATACAAGTACAATTGATAATCTATATTTTCTACAGGCATGTTTTTGTTTCTCAAATGTACGCATATACTGAACGATAATGTCTTATAAATGCGATAGATTGCATGTTGTTGAACTTTAGATGATACATAAGTATAATTCAAAATGTGTTTTAAAGTGTGTACGTATGTATTGATGATAACATGCCTATAAATAGTCTCAATATAGTCTCAACATAGACAAAGTGAATGTCTAATGAAGTCAAATTTTTCTTAATAGAAAAATAGAAAATAGCAATGAACTAACAAAAATAATTAATTCAAATAAATTTTTAAAATTCTTTTTTTTATATTTAAGAATGTTTTTCTAAATTTTATTCTAATCTTTAGTAGGAGAATAAATTTGTAGTTAATTTACCAGACAAATATGTTATACTAAATTTTGTTCATTTCCATTTCAATGTGCATACAAATGATATTTTTATTATTGATCACAAAATGCCTGGATCTTTCAAACATGAACTAATCATGACACACACACATACACAGAATGACATGAGAAAAAAAATATATATTTGATCCTAATCGTTAAGATCAGGCAATCATTTCAACTATGTTTAATATGCATATGGTAGAGATCTTTTTTTTTTTTTTCTTCTTTTTTTCAAGGTTCAAAACGAATATCTTTTCCTCTCTTTCATCCATGTTCTTATTTAAATAATCAATCAATCTATATATTTTTTCTCATTTCAGTACAAATTGTCTACTTTAAAATACCGGAATATACAGAAAAAAATGTTACAAAAAAACTTTCTAATGATGAAATGTACTCAACGTTTTCTTTTTGTTGTTGTTGTTGTTGGTGTTAGATAGAACGGTGTTTTACATTTCCGGTAGTATTTTTGTTCTATTACAATAGTATATAGTAAAAATGAACAAAAGAATTTTAATAACAAAAAAAATGTCATTTCTTTTAACATAAATAGAATTTATGAAACGGTATTTTATTACATTTGTTTATAATTTTATTTTAACACGATGTCGAGAGAAATGATTAGATCACTTAATGACAACCGTACTGATTGATAAAACAATTGAAAAGTGATAAGAAAATTTATTTTCTATAAATTTTATAATATCTCAGATTTTTTCAATGTATTCGGTTTATTTTATCTATGTTACTATAGAAAAGAGTAATTGATAATAAGAGTCTTTAAGGAAACGCACACACAATTTCTCATGTCATCTGAGACTGTGTGATGCGTGTCAAAAATTGAAAAAAAATAATAATAATAATTTATAATTAACAGAGAATTTTCTATTTTAAGCACGTTCTTTTTCTGATAACAACAATATCAACATTAGATTTATGCTATTGACTATCAAGGTTTTATCATACGGTATTCTTTTAATTGATCATTCCATAGTTTCTTTAACGACAAGTGTATTATCTTTCAATGAAGTGCCACTATGTGGTATACAAAAGACACATCATCTTAATGACTTTTTTCCTGCACACTTGACGCATGTAATGCACTATTATATAATAAAAAAATCAGAAAGAAAAAAGACATACGAATAAACAGTATGATGCTAAACTAACAACTTCTTTTTTTTTCAGAAGAAAAAAAAAAAGAGTCATTAAATTATTATCTATTTCTGCAATCAATTTGTGCAGTCTGTGAAGCCATTTGATAGTTAATTGATTCTTTATAGGAAGACAAAAGACTCTTCGTTTTACAAGTTGAATCTAGTGTGTGTGTGATACATTCAATTCACAAAATATCTTATTTTTATTTAGTTTTTCCATTTAGTCATAATATAAAACGTGTTTATTATACTAGAGGATAGAATCTATTGTGTCCTATTCTCTTGTCCTATATTTTGTTCAAACATTCTTTTGTTTCTCCTTTATCGTTGAAAAATGATCCGTAACTTATTTCGAATATTAGATTAGACCAAACAAAAAAAAACTTATCTAACTAATGTCATCAATTTTTCTCCTTCTTCTAACGTTGTGAACGATCCGTAATTTATCTTCATATTTCTTCTTCTATATAAAGAAAGTGACGATGATTACATTTCATAATATACACATAAATAGAGATATATATCTTCATCAAAAATATACGATCTTCGTATATGTTTTCCAAGAGAAAGACATTCATAACTTGTGGTAATTATGATTATATAAAAATAATATATATCGTCGTGCAAGTGCATCTTATTTGAAGATAAAAATAAACAAAAATAAATAATTCTTCTCATTTGACATGGATGATAATATATCAAGATATTTTCATGATGATAATAATACAAAATTGATTTTATGAAAGTTAAAAACATGAAAGATTGGAGAATATTTTGTTGAGTTGATGAGAGTACAGTACGCATTCTGGCAGATATTTAGCCAAAAAGTGAGTAAATCAACCGATTGTTTATTAGCGAGACATAAAATCCACGAAAAAATTATTTTCTAAGATAACAAATTTTTAATTCAATTTCAACTTTACTCAAAATTCACCCAAAATGTTCATATGGACTTAGTACATTCATGGTATATTCAAAACAATGCAATTTTCTTTCTAAAATTCATTATATAGATTTTATAAAACAAATAAACAGTTTCTCACATAAATTCTGTTTTCTTTTTATCTCTTTTAAAATGAAAAAAATCTGATATTTAAAATAAAAGTAAAAAACTGCATGAAATGATATATCACAAAAGATATTGGAAAAAGTGTAAACCACGATCATACTCAAACGTGTTTTGAAAAACGCTTTTTTCTTATGAATGTTTCCAGTACAATACGGCAAATAAAGAGATTTATTAAGAAAAAAATGACATATCTGAACACGGGAGATATTGTGGTATATAAGTATAACATGCAATCTGAAGAGAAGAAAGAATTGAGGAGCCTAGTTGATTATTCGAAAGATGACAAATAAAAGAAATGAACCTGTCGTATGATATAAAAATTAGCATATTATTCTCTCAGCGACATACGCAGGATTTTGCTAAGCGATGGGTCAAATTTTTTTTCCATTGTATTGCTTTCGAAGCCTTCTTACGGAGCTGCGTGTGATTTCTTCTTTTATTTTTAAAGTCTTACGATAATAGTAAGTGAGATTTTTATCTAAAAGACTTCAGTTAATACCCTCTACACATGCTGTCCCACGCGCTGACTTTCGAACTACAAGCGCTACTTTGTAAAAGTATTTACGTGCCCATTTTTCCCGTTAAAATGATTCCATTGCGAATTTGAACAAACGTA